TACAACGTTTCTACAAGCTATAATCACTGTGCTCAGGTGATGTGTACAAAGTTTCTACAAGCTATAATCACTATGCTCAGGTGATCTGTACAACGTTTCTACAAGCTATAATCACTGTGCTCATGTGATCTGTACAACGTTTCTACAAGCTATAATCACTATGCTCAGGTGATCTGTACAACGTTTCTACAAGCTATAATCACTGTGCTCATGTGATCTGTACAACGTTTCTACAAGCTATAATCACTGTGCTCAGGTGATCTGTACAACGTTTCTACAAGCTATAATCACTGTGCTCAGGTGATCTGTACAACGTTTCTACAAGCTATAATCACTATGCTCAGGTGATCTGTACAACGTTTCTACAAGCTATAATCACTGTGCTCATGTGATCTGTACAACGTTTCTACAAGCTATAATCACTATGCTCAGGTGATCTGTACAACGTTTCTACAAGCTATAATCACTGTGCTCAGGTGATCTGTACAACGTTTCTACAAGCTATAATCACTGTGCTCAGGTGATCTGTACAACGTTTCTACAAGCTATAATCACTGTGCTCAGGTGATCTGTACAACGTTTCTACAAGCTATAATCACTGTGCTCATGTGATCTGTACAACGTTTCTACAAGCTATAATCACTGTGCTCAGGTGATCTGTACAACGTTTCTACAAGCTATAATCACTGTGCTCAGGTGATCTGTACAACGTTTCTACAAGCTATAATCACTGTGCTCAGGTGATCTGTACAACGTTTCTACAAGCTATAATCACTGTGCTCAGGTGATCTGTACAACGTTTCTACAAGCTATAATCACTGTGCTCAGGTGATCTGTACAACGTTTCTACAAGCTATAATCACTGTGCTCAGGTGATCTGTACAACGTTTCTACAAGCTATAATCACTGTGCTCAGGTGATCTGTACAACGTTTCTACAAGCTATAATCACTGTGCTCAGGTGATCTGTACAACGTTTCTACAAGCTATAATCACTGTGCTCAGGTGATCTGTACAACGTTTCTACAAGCTATAATCACTGTGCTCAGGTGATCTGTACAACGTTTCTACAAGCTATAATCACTGTGCTCAGGTGATCTGTACAACGTTTCTACAAGCTATAATCACTGTGCTCAGGTGATCTGTACAACGTTTCTACAAGCTATAATCACTGTGCTCAGGTGATCTGTACAACGTTTCTACAAGCTATAATCACTGTGCTCAGGTGATCTGTACAACGTTTCTACAAGCTATAATCACTGTGCTCAGGTGATCTGTACAACGTTTCTACAAGCTATAATCACTGTGCTCAGGTGATCTGTACAACGTTTCTACAAGCTATAATCACTGTGCTCAGGTGATCTGTACAACGTTTCTACAAGCTATAATCACTGTGCTCAGGTGATCTGTACAACGTTTCTACAAGCTATAATCACTGTGCTCAGGTGATCTGTACAACGTTTCTACAAGCTATAATCACTGTGCTCATGTGATCTGTACAACGTTTCTACAAGCTATAATCACTGTGCTCAGGTGATCTGTACAACGTTTCTACAAGCTATAATCACTGTGCTCAGGTGATCTGTACAACGTTTCTACAAGCTATAATCACTATGCTCAGGTGATCTGTACAACGTTTCTACACGCTATAATCACTATGCTCAGGTGATCTGTACAAAGTTTCTACAAGCTATAATCACTGTGCTCAGGTGATCTGTACAACGTTTCTACAAGCTATAATCACTGTGCTCAGGTGATCTGTACAACGTTTCTACAAGCTATAATCACTGTGCTCAGGTGATCTGTACAACGTTTCTACAAGCTATAATCACTGTGCTCAGGTGATCTGTACAACGTTTCTACAAGCTATAATCACTGTGCTCAGGTGATCTGTACAACGTTTCTACAAGCTATAATCACTGTGCTCAGGTGATCTGTTCAACGTTTCTACAAGCTATAATCACTGTGCTCATGTGATCTGTACAACGTTTCTACAAGCTATAATCACTGTGCTCAGGTGATCTGTACAACGTTTCTACAAGCTATAATCACTGTGCTCATGTGATCTGTACAACGTTTCTACAAGCTATAATCACTGTGCTCAGGTGATCTGTACAACGTTTCTACAAGCTATAATCACTGTGCTGAGGTGATCTGTACGTTTCCGGATTACAAGCTATAATCACTGTGCTCATGTGATCTGTACAACGTTTCTACAAGCTATAATCACTGTGCTCATGTGATCTGTACAACGTTTCTACCAGCTATAATCACTGTGCTGAGGTGATCTGTACAACGTTTCTACAAGCTATAATCACTGTGCTCAGGTGATCTGTACAACGTTTCTACAAGCTATAATCACTGTGCTCAGGTGATCTGTACAACGTTTCTACAAGCTATAATCACTGTGCTCAGGTGATCTGTACAACGTTTCTACAAGCTATAATCACTGTGCTCAGGTGATCTGTACAACGTTTCTACAAGCTATAATCACTGTGCTCAGGTGATCTGTACAACGTTTCTACAAGCTATAATCACTGTGCTGAGGTGATCTGTACAACGTTTCTACAAGCTATAATCACTGTGCTCATGTGATCTGTACAACGTTTCTACAAGCTATAATCACTGTGCTCAGGTGATCTGTACAACGTTTCTACAAGCTATAATCACTGTGCTCAGGTGATCTGTACAACGTTTCTACAAGCTATAATCACTGTCCTCAGGTGATCTGTACAACGTTTCTACAAGCTATAATCACTGTGCTCAGGTGATCTGTACAACGTTTCTACAAGCTATAACCACTGTGCTCATGTGATCTGTACAACGTTTCTACAAGCTATAATCACTGTGCTCAGGTGATCTGTACGTTTCCGGATTACAAGCTATAATCACTGTGCTCAGGTGATCTGTACGTTTCCGGATTACAAGCTATAATCGCTGTGCTCAGATGATCTGTACAAAGTTTCCGGATTACACGCTATAAGTAAGCTATTTTGTTTCTTCCTGTATATCGTTTTCCTTGATATAAGATTACAATTTCAGGCAGAAATTGTTATTTTACTTTTTATATCCAACAGGTTTTCTATCCTGCTGTTTTTTCTTTTGGTAAGTTTAACATATCATCTTGTTGAAACTTATCATATTACTTGTACTGTTTGAAGTATCTTACCAAAACATAATGTCATTCCTTGGATGCACATTTTTGAAAGGTAAGCACCACTCTTATCAACACTTCCATTTCTAGGATATATTTATGTGTTTACAAGTATGCCAACAACATGTTCTGGATGCAAATGGTGCTATGATTTAGGGTAATGAGGTATGAGAGAAATGGAGGATATTGATAAACGATTCCTCTGTCTGATATAATATACTGATAAACGATTCCTTTCTTATATAATATACTGATAAACGATTCCTTTCTGATATAATATACTGATAAACGATTCCTCTTTCTTATATAATATACTGATAAACGATTCCTCTTTCTTATATAATATACTGATAAACGATTCCTTTCTGATATAATATACTGATAAACGATTCCTCTTTCTGATATAATATACTGATAAACGATTCCTCTTTCTGATATAATATACTGATAAACGATTCCTCTTTCTGATATAATATACTGATAAACGATTCCTCTTTCTGATATAATATACTGATAAACGATTCCTCTTTCTGATATAATATACTGATAAACGATTCCTCTTTCTTATATAATATACTGATAAACGATTCCTTTCTTATATAATATACTGATAAACGATTCCTCTGTCTGATATAATATACTGATAAACGATTCCTCTTTCTTATATAATATACTGATAAACGATTCCTTTCTTATATAATATACTGATAAACGATTCCTTTCTGATATAATATACTGATAAACGATTCCTCTTTCTGATATAATATACTGATAAACGATTCCTCTTTCTGATATAATATACTGATAAACGATTCCTTTTTCTGATATAATATACTGATAAACGATTCCTCTTTCTTATATAATATACTGATAAACGATTCCTTTTTCTGATATAATATACTGATAAACGATTCCTCTTTCTGATATAATATACTGATAAACGATTCCTCTTTCTGATATAATATACTGATAAACGATTCCTCTTTCTGATATAATATACTGATAAACGATTCCTTTTTCTGATATAATATACTGATAAACGATTCCTCTTTCTTATATAATATACTGATAAACGATTCCTCTTTCTGATATAATATACTGATAAACGATTCCTCTTTCTGATATAATATACTGATAAACGATTCCTTTTTCTGATATAATATACTGATAAACGATTCCTTTCTGATATAATATACTGATAAACGATTCCTCTTTTTGATATAATATACTGATAAACGATTCCTCTTTCTGATATAATATACTGATAAACGATTCCTTTCTGATATAATATACTGATAAACGATTCCTCTTTCTGATATAATATACTGATAAACGATTCCTCTTTCTGATATAATATACTGATAAACGATTCCTCTTTCTGATATAATATACTGATAAACGATTCCTCTGATATAATATACTGATAAACGATTCCTCTTTCTTATATAATATACTGATAAACGATTCCTCTGATATAATATACTGATAATCGATTCCTCTTTCTGATATAATATACTGATAAACGATTCCTTTCTGATATAATATACTGATAAACGATTCCTCTTTCTGATATAATATACTGATAAACGATTCCTCTGATATAATATACTGATAATCGATTCCTTTCTGATATAATATACTGATAAACGATTCCTTTCTGATATAATATACTGATAAACGATTCCTCTTTCTGATATAATATACTGATAAACGATTCCTTTCTGATATAATATACTGATAAACGATTCCTCTTTCTGATATAATATACTGATAAACGATTCCTTTCTGATATAATATACTGATAAACGATTCCTCTTTCTGATATAATATACTAAGACAAATCAAAGTGTTTTCAATTTATTTATTTCTGAAAAAAATCAATGTCTGAATTCATCACTGACAGAATATCTTTTAACAGTCTTTTTCCACAAAATGGACATCATACATGTTTGGAAATCTCTAACACAATGATCAACTGAAGTAGACACCACACTTATGCCTGATAGGGATCAAGGACTGTTCAAATTCAATAAACAATATGGAATCTGGCAAAATAAAACATTTTGACCCATTTTTTTGTATGCAAATAAATCTACATGAAAGTCACGAAAAAATCTGTCATAGCAAATTAAAATATTTGTAACACAGAGAAGTGACAAACAGTACAATTTCAAACAGTGCATGAACATAACACAAGTCAAAAATGAACTTGTTAAAATAGAAGGGATTGTGTATAATATCAATTATATTGTTTATTACAGATGATGTGGTTTATTAGGCAGACAAGGTAGTCACTCTTAGAGTGAGCAGTTCTTCCATCAAGGTGATATCTGGTCTTCTAAAGCAAGTGGTAAGCTTCAACTATGAATACTTCTGGACACAGTAAGTGTATTGAGGAAAGATCATCTGAAATTATGTCGCCTGTTCAAACTTGTAACTTGGAAAATTGGTCACCTGTTTGGGCTTGAAACCTTGAAAATATGTCATCTGTTCCAACTTGGACTAGGTGAAATCCTACCTTAACTTTCTAAATCATGTTGATTATAAAAGATTATGGACATTTTTTGTGTCATTAAACTATCTTGAGACTGTGTTTCACACCTGTATATCACATTAAAACCACTGATTTGTATGTTTTCTGACCAGCAGATAAATTAACAGTGGCAAACAATATTCTATATGAGAACAAAAGCACCTTAACCATACAAGGTCAATTATGTTGAATTTCTGTATTGATTGCACATACCTAGCACATTCTACTTCTCTGCACTATAGTGGCAAGTTTGATAATACATGCTACATCAGCTCGGTATTTCACACCAGATCATATGTAACATGTGTGTGTGAAAATGACCTATTTACACTTATCATTAATGAGGTACACAAATGACACTCACACAGAGTACTTTTACATTAAATACACAATGGTGTGATTCTCATACTATCTCGCAAACAAAGAATATATACAACTCAAAATATCATATTTACAAAATATAAAAATCAAATTACAATCAATCATATATATGAACATCATAAATGGCAGGAACCAATACAACTAAAAATATCATTAATCACGTAACATTGCATTTCACATAAAATCATCAATACAAAGTGACTCCTAATGTGTACTGTATAGGGTCTAACACTAACACACATGTACTGTATAGGGTCTAACACTAACACACATGTAGTGTATAGGGTCTAACACTAACACACATGTACTGTATAGAGTCTAACACTAACACACAGGTACTGTATAGGGTCTAACACTAACACACATGTACTGTATAGGGTCTAACACTAACACACATGTACAGTATAGGGTCTAACGCTAACACACATGTACTGTATAGGGTCTAACACTAACACTAACACATGTACTGTATAGAGTCTAACACTAACACTAACACATGTACTGTATAGGGTCTAACACTAACACACATGTACTGTATAGGGTCTAACACTAACACTAACACATGTACTGTATAGAGTCTAACACTAACACTAACACATGTACTGTATATGGTCTAACACTAACACTAACACATGTACTGTATAGGGTCTAACACTAACACTAACACACATGTACTGTATAGGGTCTAACATTAACACACATGTGCTGTATAGGGTCCAATACTTATACTAACACATGTACTGTATAGGGTCTAACACTAACACTAACACACATGTACTGTAAAGGGTCTAACACTAACACACATGTACTGTATAGGGTCTAACACTAACACATGTACTGTATAGGGTCTAACACTAACACTAACACATGTACTGTATAGAGTCTAACACTAACACATGTACTGTATAGAGTCTAACACTAACACTAACACATGTACTGTATAGGGTCTAACACTAACACATGTACTGTATAGGGTCTAACACTAACACTAACACATGTACTGTATAGAGTCTAACACTAACACATGTACTGTATAGAGTCTAACACTAACACATGTACTGTATAGGGTCTAACGCTAACACACATGTACTGTATAGAGTCTAACACTAACACTAACACATGTACTGTATAGGGTCTAACACTAACACTAACACACATGTACTGTAAAGTGTCTCACACTAACACACATGTACTGTATAGGGTCGAACGCTAACACACATGTACTGTATAGGGTCTAACACTAACACACATGTACTGTATAGGGTCTAACACTAACACACATGTACTGTATAGGGTCTAACACTAACACTAACACACATGTACTGTATAGGGTCTAACGCTAACACACATGTACTGTATAGGGTCTAACACTAACACTAACACACATGTACTGTATAGGGTCTAACACTAACACACATGTACTGTATAGGGACTAACACTAACACACATGTACTGTATAGGGTCTAACACTAACACTAATACACATGTACTGTATAGGGTCTAACGCTAACACACATGTACTGTATAGGGACTAACACTAACACACATGTACTGTATAGGGACTAACACTAACACACATGTACTGTATAGAGTCTAACACTAACACTAACACACATGTACTGTATAGGGTCTAACACTAACACACATGTACTGTATAGGGTCTAACGCTAACACACATGTACTGTATAGGGTCTAACGCTAACACACATGTACTGTATAGGGTCTAACGCTAACACACATGTACTGTATAGGGTCTAACGCTAACACACATGTACTGTATAGGGTCTAACGCTAACACACATGTACTGTATAGGGTCTAACGCTAACACACATGTACTGTATAGGGTCTAACGCTAACACACATGTACAGTATAGGGTCTAACGCTAACACACATGTACTGTATAGGGTCTAACACTAACACACATGTGCTGTATAGGGTCCAACACTTATACTAACACACATGTACTGTATAGGGTCTAAAACTAACACTCACACATATGTACTGTATAGGGTCCAATACTAACACTAACACACATGTACTGTATAGGGTCTAACACTAACACTAACACATGTGTGTTTAAGGTCTGACCTCATCACCAACAGAAAGACATGTGCAGCTTTCTAAATAAAGTTAAGATGCAGATTTTAACACGTTTTTCAAATCATAAATTAAAGATATTTACAAATGGACATTTATCCAGCTTCCTGCTACATTTGACATTTTTGGTATCACAGACACTCCTTCACTAACATGTAATAACTAAAGTACATCATACATCACAACAATTTACATTTCAGAAAACTACTGTTCAAAAATTGAAAAAAAATCTGTAGATATATTCCAAAAAGATTTACCAAGATGTCTAGTACACGTGTACATAATCTGTATAATCTTAGATGTCTAGTACACGTGTACATAATCTGTATAATCTTAGATGTCTAGTACACGTGTACATAATCTGTATAATCTTAGATGTCTAGTACACGTGTACATAATCTGTATAATCTTGATTGAGGAGTTTCTGTATGGTTGTCAGTGAGAAATAAAATGCTTATCTCCAACTTTTGTGTATGTAAGAAATGTAAACATGTCTACATTATAGAACACTGAGAAACTCCAACCCATGTAGATACCTCAGAGACCTTCATGCAAGTATTTACTGTAAATGTACTTTATTTGGCCCAGTCAAATTTCAACACATTTTCACATTTTAGCAATTTAGTGCAATGATCACCTTACACATCCACAATAATTCCTATATAAACATCATACATAAACAGCAATTAGCATACTCCTGTTTTAGCGTACTCCTGTTTTTCACATACTCCTGTTTTAGCGTACTCCTGTTTTAGCATACTCCTGTTTTTAGCATACTCCTGTTTTTATCATACTCCTGTTTTTAGCGTAATTCTATTTCAGTGTACTTATATTTTAGCATACTACTTTCATTGTAAATGTACTTCAAGATCACCAGTAATATATATTTGTTTACACTTTCTTTTTTAATCTAAATATCAACAGAATGTGACCTCATATTGATGTGATACTTGATAAAATTGACATCTTGGTCAGGTGAAAAATCTCTAATAATTCAAAGAAACCTGTGGCATCTGCAGAATTTAATAGAAATGAGCAATCATTAAACAAATGTTCAAATTGGTCTTCAATGATTTGTATACAATACAGAACACTAAGTAAATTATTATCCTCACTGTCATGTGTAGTAATTTTCCATAAGTTTCCAGATAAGAGGTGGGACAAATTGTAAGCAAAAAGGATTGGCTAATTCTGGAATCACAAGGTTCTTACCTGACTGCTAGCTCCATGGGTGGAACATCTTGATGCCTCTATCTACAGAAGACTTACTTGGTAAATCTGATCAGAATATCTCTGAAAGCCTCATTTTCAAAACTTCCTGGAACCTGCCACAGACTACCGACATTCACCAGTAAGATGTGTGTCAGATTCAATACTATTGAACTGAATGGACTAGATTGGAACAAAGAAGAGGGAATCCTGTCAGATCTAGTAGACCATCACTAGTCAACACATGGGACTGATGGGATACTTGGTTTGTAGAGTCTGAAATCATTGAACATCACTGATGACAGAAATATAGCTGAACAACCATGCTTTCAGCTCTCAATGGTTTATACTTGTGAGTTAGTCATCATTCATCACAGATCAAGCTTATCATCATCAGACACCACATCCGACGGAAGAAGTCCCTGGGAACTGCTAGCACTGCCAAAGCTTGATACCTCAGTACTACTACTGGAGGCTACTGGCAGGGATAAACTATTTCTCACATGGAGAGGTGTGTACCCATCATTGTCTGCGTTCACCTCATTAGCACTTCTACTCAGTCCTTTGATGTATGTCACTCTTCTGTCCTCATAGTCTCTAACATGACCCACTTCTGCCTGACTTGAAGCCATCGATGCTGTGCATTCTTCCCCACTTTCCTCGTCCTGGCTCCCTACAGGAAAAACAAATCAACATCACTCATGTATCCTTATATCAGGAAGCACTGTTAACATATTTCTCTGTAGTTAGTAAACCCTAAACAATAAAGATTTTATGTTGCTTGTTACATCCTTATACATTCATGACTCAATGGAAATCTAAAAGCTGTCAAACCCTTATACATTCATGACTCAATTTAAACCCAAAAGCTATCAAACCCTTATACATTCATGACTCAATTTAAACCCAAAAGCTATCAAACCCTTATACATTCATGACTCAATTTAAACCCAAAAGCTATCAAACCCTTATACATTCATGACTCAATTTAAACCCAAAAGCTATCAAACCCTTATACATTCATGACTCAATTTAAACCCAAAAGCTATCAAACCCTTATACATTCATGACTCAATTTAAACCCAAAAGCTATCAAACCCTTATACATTCATGACTCAATATTAACCCTAAAACTGTCAGATACATTTGCATTCATGGCGCAATGTACCCCATGACACTATCAGATCCTTATACATTATTAAAACTATGACTAATAACAATTATGATTCAAGTAATGCCCTTTAGCTAGCAGCCTGTAAACAACTATAACTCAATGTTTACCCTCAAGTAAATGTAACCTGATGTTTAACCTCAAGTAACAACTGTTATTCAGTGTATACCCTCAAGTAACAATTGTAACTCAATGTTTACCCTCAAGTAACAACTATAACTCACTGTTTACCCTCAAGTAACAACTATAACTCAATGTTTACCCTCAAGTAACATCTATAACTCAATGTTTACCCTCAAGTAACATCTATAACTCAATGTTTACCCTCAAGTAACAACTGTAACTCAATGTTTACCCTCAAGTTACATCTATAACTCAATGTTTACCCTCAAGTAACATCTATAACTCAATGTTTACCCTCAAGTAACATCTATAACTCAATGTTTACCCTCAAGTAACAACTGTAACTCAATGTTTACCCTCAAGTAACATCTATAACTCAATGTTTACCCTCAAGTAACAACTGTAACTCAATGTTTACCCTAAGGAAGACAAGCCTTATCATTGTTTTTTTCTGAACAACCAGGACTGAGTATATCCTATAGATATCAAAAGATGTTGTACATTACTGATGGCATCATTCACTACAGCTTGTCCCAAAGTGAACTATCTGAAACAATTCTTAATCTGATCAATACATACTGTAGACTTTCTAATTAATAACTTGATCATTAGTGGTGTCATCTGACAAGAAGCCTAGCGACCTTGACCGTCACCTGAGATAAGCAAAATGAATATAAAGGTTAAAGGATAGTGTCATGAAACAGAAATTGTGACACTGATATAGTAGGCCAGAGTCAATACACGCATACCATCAAAACTTAATTCTTACAAAGTTATTTCCAGTGGGAAATAACAAACAATATGCTCAAAAATACAATTTTTCTGAGAATTACAATAAATTCTAAAAAATATTCCTCCCCAGGAAGAAATGTGAGACTAATTTTGGTAAAGCACCTTAAGATGCTTCCATTCATGAAGAGCATTTGCTTATACCTTATCTGGGTTTTTGAGAAGAAGTCGAAAGTGTTAAATTGTTTACGGATGCACAATGCACGACGCACAACGCCAGATGATTGGTATTACAATAAGTCACCATGAAACTTTGTCTCTGGTGACCCAAAAATAGACATCAGCATCTATTGACCACTGTAGAATGTTACATGATATCAATGGCTCTGATATACTCTATACTCTATGACATTAACATTCTACGAACCACCAGTGCAATACATCAGACTTTAGATTATAGTGTTGTTCACAAAATCTGCTTAACTGCTTAGAGTTTCACAATGCCAGGCATTACTCTGTGATGTTTGTTAATGATAACCAGCCAGGAGTAAAGCTTGCTCAGAACATTGCACCACAAAATGTCAACAAAAGATGAAATACAGACTTTAGACCTAGTATAATGAACTTATACATATCAGTTAGCAGCTACACATCTTCATTGACATGCATAGATACAAGAAAGTGGGTAGATAGATGTAGATTCATATTTGCCATACAGTGCTATACACATGTAGTGGAAAATAGGGTGATTTTCAAAGTGAAATGAACAAAAGTGTTAAAAACCCATCTATTTAAATGCTTTTGTGAAACAAATGAAATTTCAATTCATTCAAGATGTAAGTGCACAATTTACTGGTCAATGAATTTCTGAAAGCACCACACAACACAACGTATTGTCAATAATTCTAAACATGGTAGGTTTATCCCCAAATCATAAAAGTATTCTAAGTAAGATTTTATTTATAATCATGACATATAAGGAAAATTAATTATCAGGAAATCAGATCCCAGATAACATCTATTTCATTAGGTTGAAAGTAAGAAAGCCTTTGTACAGTTGTCTATGATTTTAAACTTAAAACTGTTTTGGAGTAGGAAAGCAAAACCAATGAAAACTATTTTCATTTTCACTAGATTAATTAATTTTACACAAATATGATTCAATTAACATCTATAATACACAAACTGTACATCTATATATAGTACACAAACTGTACATCTATATATAGTACACTGACTGTACATCCATATATAGTACACAGACTGTACATCTATATATTGTACACAGACTGTACATCCATATATATTACACAGACTGTACATCTATATATAGTACACAAACTGTACATCTATATATAGTACACTGACTGTACATCCATATATAGTACACAGACTGTACATCTATATATTGTACACAGACTGTACATCCATATATAGTACACAAACTGTACATCTATATATAGTACATAAACTGTACATCTATATATAGTACACAGACTGTACATCTATATATAGTACATAAACTGTACATCTATATATAGTACACAGACTGTACATCTATATATAGTACACAGACTGTACATCTATATATAGTACATAAACTGTACATCTATATATAGTACACAGACTGTACATCTATATATAGTACACAGACTGTACATCTATATATAGTACATAAACTGTACATCCATATATAGTACACAGACTGTACATCCATATATAATACACAGACTGTACATCTATATATAGTACACAGACTGTACATCTATATATAGTACACAGACTGTACATCCATACATAAAACACAGATTGTAGAAATATATTTAATACACAAACCATACACCATTAAATAAGGAAATTTGTGACAGTATAGAACCAGACAAAATCATACAGAACTATGCATAATTCAGGTACCAGATTTTGTAAATAAATAAATGAAAGTGATGATTTCAACTGAAATTTTTGGATACCAAAACAACACTTGAACATAATCATGCTTACCTGCTACCTGAATTGATGCAAATAAAGCAAAGTAAACATATGGTAAAAAAGGGATCAACTGGAAACACTACACTACAAAGACATGCAGCATTAAATATGTATCACATGGAGGCAACTTACATCATTATATATATACTGGGGAGACTGGCTACATCATTATATATATACTGGGAAGACAGGCTACATCATTAAATATATACTGGGAGACTGGCTACATCATTAAATATATACTGGGAGACTGGCTACATCATTAAATATATACTGGGGAGACAGGCTACATCATTAAATATATACTGGGAGACTGGCTACATCATTATATATATACTGGGAGACTGGCTACATCATTAAATATATACTGGGGAGACAGGCTACATCATTAAATATATACTGGGAGACTGGCTACATCATTATATATATACTGGGAGACTGGCTACATCATTAAATATATACTGGGGAGACTGGCTACATCATTATATATATACTGGGGAGACTGGCTACATCATTATATATATACTGGGGAGACAGGCTACATCATTATATATATACTGGGGAGACTGGCTACATCATTAAATATATACTGGGAGACTGGCTACATCATTAAATATATACTGGGGAGACAGGCTACATCATTAAATATATACTGGGGAGACTGGCTACATCATTAAATATATACTGGGAGACTGGCTACATCATTAAATATATACTGGGAGACTGGCTACATCATTAAATATATACTGGGGAGACTGGCTACATCATTATATATATACTGGGGAGACAGGCTACATCATTATATATATACTGGGAGACTGGCTACATCATTAAATATATACTGGGGAGACAGGCTACATCATTAAATATATACTGGGGAGACAGGCTATATCATTATATATATACTGGGGAGACAGGCTACATCATTATATATATACTGGGGAGACAGGCTATATCATTTTACTTATATAGGGGAGACTGGCTACATCATTATATATATACTGGGGAGACAGACTATATCATTTTACTTATATAGGGGAGACTGGCTATATAGAGTAGTTTTAAATCCATTGTCTCTGCAAGAACAGCTCTTCTATCCTAGATTTTTTTTATCTGTAAGATTTGATGCTTTTGGTATCACAGAATCACAATCTTCAAGTAACTTTAATGTTGTATAACACTAATTATAAAATCTAAGGCCTCATGATATATGATCTACCCATATTCTTAAAATTCCATTTGATAGCTTTTCTTTCAGTAATCAAATTAACACCATGGTCAGACTTCAAGGACATTGAACGCTTTTAACCTCAAATGTGAGTCAAATTCTTTTTAAATTCCATTACTCTAGTAAGCTACAGATGAATTAAAAGCTTTAAGATTGATGCAGAGCTAAACATGTTGAGAGGAACCACTTAGTGCGGAGGCTGTAGTAGAAATAAATCTACAATCACACTGAATTTCTATGTTTCTAATAGTTAATCACAAAACATCAAACAGAGAGTATAATCCGATAATTACACAGTGTCTTACTTTCTGTTTCATTGTTGATGGCATTGTCGTAGTCTGGATCTGGCTCTGGTTCAGCTTCTGAACTGTCTTCCCTCTCGTCATCGGCAAGGTCTTCAGCTGACAAGTGACTCTGCTTCACCTGAATAGGCTTCAATTCATAGTCACTGTCAGCTTCAGACTCTCCCAGGTCATACACCTGTAGGCCCTGTGAAAATGAACTCAGGTTTAGTATTCTGAAGCCCTTTCTACAATTGACTACTTCAACTAAAAATTTTGATTCCACAGACAGTGACATTGTTGTCATTCTCTTATTGAAGAAAAATATCAAATACGTGTCTTTCTTATAACGCTTTAACACCACAGTTTAGCAAAGGTCAGCTAAATTTCTTATAACGCTTTAACACCACAGTTAAGCAAAGGTCACCTAAATTTCTTATAATGCTTTAACACCACAGTTGAGCAAAGGTCAGCAAAATTTCTTATAACGCTTTAACACCACAGTTGAGCAAAGGTCAGCTAAATTTCTTATAATGCTTTAACACCACAGTTAAGCAAAGGTCAGCTAAATTTCTTATAATGCTTTAACACCACAGTTGAGCAAAGGTCAGCTAAATTCCTAAGTTCTTAAAACTTCAAATTCTTTCGAACCTAGGCATTTCCCTTGCATATGAAATTACCTTCCCTTGGAGACAGGCAGTTGTTACATGTAGAGAAAAAACAACATCACACTTCATTTACAGACTTGACATCAACACGAGTGCTTTCAGAACCAAAATCAGAAAGGCCCTAATAATAGTTGTCTCCTACATCTACCCTGGATTTGATGGGAGTTGTCTTCCTTACACAGGCCTCAAATCACAGGTAGGGATGTCACTCCAGATCACCATAGAGAAAATCACAGGTAGGAATGTCACTCCAGATAACAATAGAGAAAATCACTGGTAGGAATGTCACTCCAGATCACAATAGAGACAACTTCCTTACACAAACCTTTCTATCCTGTATGTACACATACCTTTCTATCCTGTATGTACACATACCTTTCTATCCTGTAAGTCTATCCTATATGTACACATACCTTTCTATCCTGTATGTACACATACCTTTCTATCCTGTAAGTCTATCCTGTATGTACAAATACCTTTCTATCCTGTAAGTACACATACCTTTCTATCCTGTAAGTCTATCCTATATGTACACATACCTTTCTATCCTGTATGTACACATACCTTTCTATCCTGTAAGTCTATCCTGTATGTACACATACCTTTCTATCCTGTATGTACACATACATTTCTATCCTGTATGTACACATACCTTTCTATCCTGTAAGTCTATCCTGTATGTACACATACCTTTCTATCCTGTATGTACACATACATTTCTATCCTGTATGTACACATACCTTTCTATTCTGTAAGTACAAATACCTTTCTATACTGTAGGTTTATCCTATATGTACACATACCTTTCTATCCTGTATGTACACATACCTTTCTATCCTGTAATTACACATATCTTTCTATCCTGTAAGTCTATCCTATATGTACACATACCTTTCTATCCTGTAAGTACACATATCTTTCTATCCTGTAAGTCTATCCTGTATGTGCACATACCTTTCTATTCTGGAAGTACAAATACCTTTCTATACTGTAGGTCTATCCTGTCTGTACACATACCTTTCTATCCTGTAAGTACACATATCTTTCTATCCTGTAAGTCTATCCTGTATGTACACATGCCTTTCTATCCTGTATGTACACATATCTTTCTATTCTGGAAGTACAAATACCTTTCTATACTGTAGGTCTATCCTGTCTGTACACATACCTTTCTATCCTGTAAGTACACATATCTTTCTATCCTGTAAGTCTATCCTGTATGTACACATACCTTTCTATCCTGTAAGTACACATATCTTTCTATCCTGTAAGTCTATCCTGTATGTACACATACCTTTCTATCCTGTATGTACACATACCATTCTATCCTGTAGGTTTATCCTGTCTGTACACATACCTTTCTATCCTGTAAGTACACATATCTTTCTATCCTGTAAGTCTATCCTGTATGTACACATACCTTTCTATCCTGTATGTACACATACCTTTCTATCCTGTATGTACACATACCATTCTATCCTGTAGGTTTATCCTGTCTGTACACATACCTTTCTATCCTGTAAGTACACATATCTTTCTATCCTGTAAGTCTATCCTGTATGTACACATACCTTTCTATCCTGTATGTAAAAATACCTTTCTATCCTGTAAGTCTATTCTGTAATTACACATACCTTTCTATCCTGTATGTACACATACCTTTCTATCCTGTATGTACACATACCTTTCTATCCTGTTTGTACAAATACCTTTCTATCCTGTAAGTCACATACCTTTCTATCCTGTAAGTCTATCCTGTATGTACACATACCTTTCTATCCTATATTTACACATACCTTTCTATCCTTTAAGTACACATACCTTTCTATCTTGTGAGTCACCATCTTTAGATGCTTTCATCTCATCAGAACTTTCATCATACCTATTGAAAATAAATATACAGTACACACCATACATCAATTTGTCCACTTGTCATCTTATAAAAATTCATGATGATAAAAATTTCCTTAAAAGTTTTGTGAAAACCAATTTTAGTGCTTAATCACTTTTTGACAAGTAATCCTAATAATAACAATTAGCATAAAAAACATGAATTAGGACAATCATATTGTAGAGCAATACTTTTAGCATGAATTAGGACAATCATATTGTAGAGCAATACTTTTAGCATGAATTAGGACAATCATATTTTAGAGCAATACTTTTAGCATGAATTAGGACAATCATATTTTAGAGCAATACTTTCAGCATGAAGGCACGGATACAAGAATTCTGCTAACACATGTACATTCACAGTATTTCATTGAAAACTAGAAAATGGTCAATTGAAATTTTTTCTCATAAAACGTGAGCTGAAATTTCCATTCTGAATGCTTTTTCTTCAAGAAATCTTTTTATTGTTTCAATATATCACCATCCACATCAAAATCTATTACATTCTGTGATACTGCTATCCATAACATCATGTTTCACAATATTGCCATCCATATCATGACGTAGTTTGTAGGAATTTCAATCCATATCCTTTTCTAACATTAGGATGTCCCTGTGTGTATTTTAGTGTTTGCCCTAGGTCTACCTACAATGGTTTGTTGAGATCCTTTTTCTTTGGAGACTTGGCTTGCTCTGAATGGGCCATCATTACAACCTGGGGTTGGTCCTGGGATTCTCGTTCCTCCTCCTCTAACATTTTTTTGTCGTCAGCTCGGAACACCACATTCTGTTGATTATCTTTTGCTGAGTCAACTGCGATCACATTCCTATAAACAAATGGTTTTATAGAGGATCTAGTTTTCCTTTCCCTATTTCACATTCTATAAATCATACAGAATGAAAACAAATTCGTCAAATTTACCCTGACCATCGTCGAAAATTATTTTGACAATTCATTTTTAACAATTTTATTTACTTATTTTATGCCCAGACCAATCAAAACCACAGTAATCTATACCTATTGCAACCATGTATAATAAGAGGATATGAATTCTGTGATATCTCCTAATAACCAAGAGTTTGAACAGTTACATGATGACGACAATCCCTTCCTCAATCCTAAAAAATTATTATAAATTTGATGTGAATCAAGAAACATTTGTGAATTTTGATAGAAGAAGATCAATAAATCATAATTCATCAAACTTTACTGATATGTGTGGAGGACAACAGTAACTTTATTGATATGTGTGGAGGACAACAGTTACTTTACTGATATGTGTGGAGGACAACAGTTACTTTACTGATATGTGTGGAGGACAACAGTAACTTTACTGATATGTGTGGAGGACAACAGTTACTTTACTGATATGTGTGGAGGACAACAGTTACTTTACTGATATGTGTGGAGGACAACAGTAACTTTACTGATATGTGTGGAGGACAACAGTAACTTTACTGATATGTGTGGAGGACAACAGTTACTTTACTGATATGTGTGGAGGACAACAGTAACTTTACTGATATGTGTGGAGGACAACAGTTACTTTACTGATATGTGTGGAGGACAACAGTAACTTTACTGATATGTGTGGAGGACAACAGTTACTTTACTGATATGTGTGGAGGACAACAGTAACTTTACTGATATGTGTGGAGGACAACAGTAACTTTACTGATATGTGTGGAGGACAACAGTAACTTTACTGATATGTGTGGAGGACAACAGTTACTTTACTGATATGTGTGGAGGACAACAGTAACTTTACTGATATGTGTGGAGGACAACAGTAACTTTACTGATATGTGTGGAGGACAACAGTAACTTTACTGATATGTGTGGAGGACAACAGTAACTTTATTGATATGTGTGGAGGACAACAGTAACTTTACTGATATGTGTGGAGGACAACAGTAACTTTACTGATATGTGTGGAGGACAACAGTAACTTTATTGATATGTGTGGAGGACAACAGTAACTTTACTGATATGTGTGGAGGACAACAGTAACTTTACTGATATGTGTGGAGGACAACAGTAACTTTACTGATATGTGTGGAGGACAACAGTAACTTTACTGATATGTGTGGAGGACAACAGTAACTTTACTGATATGTGTGGAGGACAACAGTAACTTTACTGATATGTGTGGAGGACAACAGTAACTTTATTGATATGTGTGGAGGACAACAGTAACTTTACTGATATGTGTGGAGGACAACAGTAACTTTACTGATATGTGTGGAGGACAACAGTAACTTTACTGATATGTGTGGAGGACAACAGTAACTTTACTGATATGTGTGGAGGACAACAGTAACTTTACTGATATGTGTGGAGGACAACAGTAACTTTACTGATATGTGTGGAGGACAACAGTAACTTTACTGATATGTGTGGAGGACAACAGTAACTTTATTGATATGTGTGGAGGACAACAGTAACTTTACTGATATGTGTGGAGGACAACAGTAACTTTACTGATATGTGTGGAGGACAACAGTAACTTTACTGATATGTGTGGAGGACAACAGTAACTTTACTGATATGTGTGGAGGACAACAGTAACTTTATTGATATGTGTGGAGGACAACAGTAACTTTACTGATATGTGTGGAGGACAACAGTAACTTTACTGATATGTGTGGAGGACAACAGTAACTTTACTGATATGTGTGGAGGACAACAGTAACTTTACTGATATGTGTGGAGGACAACAGTAACTTTACTGATATGTGTGGAGGACAACAGTAACTTTATTGATATGTGTGGAGGACAACAGTAACTTTACTGATATGTGTGGAGGACAACAGTAACTTTACTGATATGTGTGGAGGACAACAGTAACTTTACTGATATGTGTGGAGGACAACAGTAACTTTACTGATATGTGTGGAGGACAACAGTAACTTTACTGATATGTGTGGAGGACAACAGTAACTTTACTGATATGTGTGGAGGACAACAGTAACTTTACTGATATGTGTGGAGGACAACAGTAACTTTACTGATATGTGTGGAGGACAACAGTAACTTTATTGATATCTGTGGAGGACAACAGTAATGGACAGTTATCAATACAATCAATTCCAACCTATGATACAACTTTTGGTGTGAATCAGACCTCTAAGGATACGAACAAATTTCATAAAACGTACTCATTCATTAAATATGAAGTTAAAGTGTTTAGTAGTGTAGGGCAGACCTCAAACCTTGTCTTTGATATAGCTCAGATGTCGTAATGCATGTTAGAGTTGCCTACTTATGAATGTATGACATTCCAAGTCAACAAAGTGAACCAATTCCACAAGTATGAAGTTCCAGTGACATGTAGTGTCAGAGATAGAGCTGGGCTAACTTTTTCTTTTGATGTAGGTCAAAGGTCAAAATGTAGGTCAGAATGTAGTGTAAGAGATAATGCCCAGAGGATGGACACAACTATAACTGCCACCAGTAAGATATTAATTGCTGTAAACATTACTCTGAGTTGAAATGTTGGTATGATGAGGGTACCTACCTTTTTGATGACCGTTTCTTTTCCCTATGGTAGGTATCTAGGTCACCTGGCTGCATCATCCTCATAGACACTGGAAACCCTTTAAGTTAAATTTCAGTACAATAGTTTAGTTTCAGTAATATTTCTTTTGTCATATGCAGACTGCAAGATGAACTATGATTTTACAGTGTTTGGAATGTGGTCATATAAATAAGGATTGGGATTTCCAGATCTTTTTCATGAAGTAGAGGTTTACTGGACTGACAGAATTTGAATTTTTACTATGTCAAGACAAAAGTATCACTAGTTACAGGCATCAACTATCTAAAGCAACAAAGAGTGATTTGCTGGCCAATTTTGTTTCTTTTAACATATTGCAGTAAAATTAAATTTGTTTTAACTTATGACAGATTTGTTGAGAAAGCTCACCATCACCTGGAGCAGGGAAGAACTGATTACAGGGACCATTGAGGGCCTCAATGAGGGAAACAGCCTCATAACCTGGAGGTACCCCCTCCTGACTGACAGGGTTCTCGTCATTGCCTTCTGTCTGAAATTAATAAATGTGGAAGATTATGTGTATGTACTTAACCAGACAGATTGAGTTGAGAACACAATATTTCACAACCAAGTTAATCATTTTTATTATAGTAGGTAATTGACCTTGATATCTGCCCATATTCAGACAAGTTCTGAGAGTGACTGTGATCTTTGATCTACAGCAAGTGTGGATAAGTTTGGTCATAATATCCATATTCTAAACTTATAGGGATGTTATTGTATATGTTTGTTTATAATAATACAGAACATAAATCTGTAAACAAGCCTTGTTTACCTGCTTGTACAACAAAATGATATATCTGCATCATAATTACACAAAACTTGGCACAGTGCCAACTGCTGTACTTGTAAACAACTTCCACTCATTGCTAACACAGAATAATGTATGTAATCATCTGATGTCTAACTGGTACACAGTTTTACTGGTAAATAATAGGAGCTGGATTAAATACCTGTCACACCTGTGGGAACAGAGTTATGCATGAGAGAACACTGTCCTTTTAATTCAATGACAATACAGCTTTAGTCCCCTTACATACCACACATAGTGCATAGACAGATTACTGGACATCTACAGACAACTTGACAGCTACAGAGATAACTTGACAATCACAGACAACCTGACAGTCACAAAGAAAACTTGACAGTCACAGACACCCTGACATCTACAGACAACTTGACAGTCACAGACAACCTGACAGCTACAGAGATAACTTGACAGTCACAGACAACCTGACAGTCACAAAGAAAACTTGACAGTCACAGACACCCTGACAGTCACAAAGATAACTTGACAATCACAGACACCCTGACATCTACAGACAACTTGACAGCTACAGAGATAACTTGACAATCACAGACAACCTGACAGTCACAAAGAAAACTTGACAATCACAGACACCCTGACAGTCACAAAGATAACTTGACAATCACAGACACCCTGACAGTCACAGACAACTTGACAGCTACAGACAACCTGACAGTCACAAAGAAAACTTGACAGTCACAGACAACCTGACAGTCACAAAGATAACTTGACAGTCACAGACAACCTGACAGTCACAAAGATAACTTGACAGTCACAGACAACCTGACAGTCACAGACAACCTGACAGTCACAGACAACCTGACAGTCACAGACAACCTGACAGTCACAGACAACCTGACAGTCACAAAGATAACTTGACAGTCACAGACAACCTGACAGTCACAAAGATAACTTGACAGTCACAGACAACCTGACAGTCACAAAGATAACTTGACAGTCACAGACAACCTGACAGTCACAGACAACCTGACAGTCACAGACAACCTGACAGTCACAAAGATAACTTGACAGTCACAGACAACCTGACAGTCACAAAGATAACTTGACAGTCACAGACAACCTGACAGTCACAGACAACCTGACAGTCACAAAGATAACTTGACAGTCACAGACAACCTGACAGTCACAGACAACCTGACAGTCACAGACAACCTGACAGTCACAGACAACCTGACAGTCACAAAGATAACTTGACAGTCACAGACAACCTGACAGTCACAAAGATAACTTGACAGTCACAGACAACCTGACAGTCACAAAGATAACTTGACAGTCACAGACAACCTGACAGTCACAGACAACCTGACAGTCACAGACAACCTGACAGTCACAAAGATAACTTGACAGTCACAGACAACCTGACAGTCACAAAGATAACTTGACAGTCACAGACAACCTGACAGTCACAAAGATAACTTGACAGTCACAGACAACCTGACAGCTACAGACAACTTGACAGCTACAGAGATAACTTGACAGTCACAGACAACCTGACAGTCACAAAGATAACTTGACAGTCACAGACAACCTGACAGTCACAAAGATAACTTGACAGTCACAGACAACCTGACAGTCACAAAGATAACTTGACAGTCACAGAGATAACTTGACAGTCACAGACAACCTGACAGTCACAAAGAAAACTTGACAGTCACAGACAACCTGACAGTCACAAAGAAAACTTGACAGTCACAGACAACCTGACAGTCACAAAGATAACTTGACAGTCACAGACAACTTGACAGTCACAAAGAAAACTTGACAGTCACAGACAACCTGACAGTCACAGAGATAACTTGACAGTCACAGAGATAACTTGACAGTCACAGACACCCTGACAGTCACAGACAACCTGACAGTCACAGACAACCTGACAGTCACAGACAACCTGACAGTCACAAAGATAACTTGACAGTCACAGACAACCTGACAGTCACAAAGATAACTTGACAGTCACAGACAACCTGACAGTCACAAAGATAACTTGACAGTCACAGACAACCTGACAGCTACAGACAACTTGACAGCTACAGAGATAACTTGACAGTCACAGACAACCTGACAGTCACAAAGAAAACTTGACAGTCACAGACAACCTGACAGTCACAAAGATAACTTGACAGTCACAGAGATAACTTGACAGTCACAGACAACCTGACAGTCACAAAGATAACTTGACAGTCACAGACAACCTGACAGTCACAAAGATAACTTGACAGTCACAGACAACTTGACAGTCACAAAGAAAACTTGACAGTCACAGACAACCTGACAGTCACAGACAACCTGACAGTCACAAAGATAACTTGACAGTCACAAAGAAAACTTGACAGTCACAGACAACTTGACAGTCACAGACAACCTGACAGTCACAGAGATAACTTGACAGTCACAGAGATAACTTGACAGCTACAGAGATAACTTGACAGTCACAGACAACCTGACAGTCACAGACAACCTGACAGTCACAGACAACCTGACAGTCACAAAGATAACTTGACAGTCACAGACAACCTGACAGTCACAAAGATAACTTGACAGTCACAGACAACCTGACAGTCACAAAGATAACTTGACAGTCACAGACAACCTGACAGCTACAGACAACTTGACAGCTACAGAGATAACTTGACAGTCACAGACAACCTGACAGTCACAAAGATAACTTGACAGTCACAGAGATAACTTGACAGTCACAGACAACCTGACAGTCACAAAGAAAACTTGACAGTCACAGACAACCTGACAGTCACAAAGATAACTTGACAGTCACAGACAACTTGACAGTCACAAAGAAAACTTGACAGTCACAGACAACCTGACAGTCACAAAGATAACTTGACAGTCACAGAGATAACTTGACAGTCACAAAGATAACTTGACAGTCACAGACAACCTGACAGTCACAGAGACAACTTGACAGTCACAGGTAACTTGACAGTCACAGACAACCTGACAGTCACAGACAACCTGACAGTCACAAAGATAACTTGACAGTCACAGAGATAACTTGACAGTCACAGACAACCTGACAGTCACAAAGAAAACTTGACAGTCACAGACAACCTGACAGTCACAAAGATAACTTGACAGTCACAGAGATAACTTGACAGTCACAGACAACCTGACAGTCACAAAGAAAACTTGACAGTCACAGACAACCTGACAGTCACAAAGATAACTTGACAGTCACAGAGATAACTTGACAGTCACAGACAACCTGACAGCTACAGAGATAACTTGACAGTCACAGACAACCTGACAGTCACAAAGATAACTTGACAGTCACAGACACCCTGACATCTACAGACAACTTGACAGCTACAGAGATAACTTGACAATCACAGACAACCTGACAGTCACAAAGAAAACTTGACAATCACAGACACCCTGACAGTCACAAAGATAACTTGACAGTCACAGACAACCTGACAGTCACAGACAACTTGACAGCTACAGACAACCTGACAGTCACAAAGAAAACTTGACAGTCACAGACAACCTGACAGTCACAGACAACCTGACATCTACAGACAACCTGACAGCTACAGAGATAACTTGACAGTCACAGACAACCTGACAGTCACAAAGATAACTTGACAGTCACAGACAACCTGACAGCTACAGAGATAACTTGACAGTCACAGACAACCTGACAGTCACAAAGATAACTTGACAGCTACAGAGATAACTTGACAATCACAGACAACCTGACAGTCACAAAGAAAACTTGACAGTCACAGACAACCTGACAGTCACAAAGATAACTTGACAGTCACAGACAACCTGACAGCTACAGAGATAACTTGACAGTCACAGAGACAACTTGACAGTCACAAAGATAACTTGACAGTCACAAAGATAACTTGACAGTCACAGACAACCTGACAGTCACAAAGAAAACTTGACAGTCACAGACAACTTGACAGCTACAGAGACAACTTGACAGTCACAGAGATAACTTGACAGTCACAGACAACCTGACAGTCACAAAGAAAACTTGACAGTCACAGAGATAACTTGACAGTCACAAAGATAACTTGACAGTCACAGACAACCTGACAGTCACAGAGACAACTTGACAGTCACAGGTAACTTGACAGTCACAGACAACCTGACAGTCACAGACAACTTGACAGTCACAAAGAAAACTTGACAGTCACAGACAACTTGACAGCTACAGACAACCTGACAGTCACAAAGATAACTTGACAGCTACAGACAACTTGACAGCTACAGAGATAACTTGACAGTCACAGACAACCTGACAGTCACACGTAACATGACAGTCACAGACAACCTGACAGTCACAGGTAACTTGACAGCTACAGACAACCTGACAGTCACACGTAACATGACAGTCACAGACAACTTGACAGTCACAGACAACTTGGCAGTCACAGATAACTTGACAGCTACAGACAACCAGTTCTTAAGATGACATCCCACGTGGTCTTATGATAATGACACAGTACAACAGGCCATTAGGATGACATCCAACATGGTCTTATGATAATGACACATTACAACAGGCCCTTATGTTTACATCCAATGTGGTCTTATGATAATGACACATTACAACAGGCCCTTATGTTTACATCCCATGTGGTCTTATGATAATGACACAGGACAGTCAGTCCTTAAGATGACATCCCACGCGATCTTATGATAATGACACAGGACAGTCAGTCCTTAGGATGACATCCCACGTGGTCTTATGATAATGACACAGGACAATCAGTCCTTAGGATGACATCCAACATGGTTTATGATAATGACACAGGACAATCAGTCCTAAGTTCCAGTCCATTAAAAGTTGAAACTACTTGAAGGGAAAAAAATATTAAATGTTTATCCATACATAATTAGTCCAGACCTGGAAGAGATTCCTAAAGGGAGACAATTTATGATGACTTACCTGATGCAGAGGAACCGACTGTTTTTTCCTCATAGCTCTTATCTGAAGCAGGGCCCTGAAAGGTGAGCGACAAATTGGACAGCTGCTGGCCTGGTACCTGAGAGACTCTGCACAGGTACTACACAAACATAAGTGACGACAAGGCAGGATAAGTGTGTCCCTCATATCTGACATACAGATCACACATTCTGCACCACTGTCCTCCAGGTCATCATCAGGGTCAAGCTAAAATGACAAGGATTATTATTCTGGTTTCACTCATATTGAAATTTTCACACTTTGATTTACATAACATTAATGTTTACCAGGTAAGTTTAAATAGGTTCATAGAATAGGTTTCATTAAAACATTACACTAAGCTACTTTCACTGATCTGAGGAGCCAAAAGGGCCAAAATTGTGTCACTTCAGTAACTTCAATAAGTCTGGGTTGTGGGTCTTGAAATCAAGTTGAGGCTTCAATGACCAACGTAACTGGTGCCACTGAAGTTGAAACTACCACATATATAACAAACTTCATTTCTAACAAACAAAGAAGTTGTGACCCTTCAATATTGTGATACGATACTTTCCATGGAATCTGGATTATACTTGTCTGTGTTACCGATACTCTTGAACGACTGTCCATTTCTGTGTTACCTAGCAGTCCTGATTAGGCAGCCTTCTGTCCATGTCACCTATTAGTCCTGATAAGGCAGTCTGGTTGTTCTGTCTGTGTTACTTGGTAGTCCTGATAAGGCAGTCTTGTTGTTCCAACCATGTTACCTAGAAGCTCTGATTAGACAGTCTGGTGGTTCTGTCCGTGTTACCTAGAAGTCCTGATTAGACAGTCTGGTGGTTCTGTCTGTGTTACCTAGAAGTCCTGATTAGACAGTCTGGTGGTTCTGTCTGTGTTACCTAGAAGTCCTGATTAGACAGTCTGGTGGTTCTGTCTGTGTTACCTAGAAGCCCTGATAAGACAGTCTGGTGGTTCTGTCTGTGTTACCTAGAAGCCCTGATAAGACAGTCTGGTGGTTCTGTCCGTGTTACCTAGAAGTCCTGATTAGACAGTCTGGTGGTTCTGTCCGTGTTACCTAGAAGCCCTGATTAGACAGTCTGGTGGTTCTGTCCGTGTTACCTAGAAGTCCTGATTAGACAGTCTGGTGGTTCTGTCTGTGTTACCTAGAAGTCCTGATTAGACAGTCTGGTGGTTCTGTCTGTGTTACCTAGAAGTCCTGATTAGAGTCTGTTGGTTCTGTCCGTGTTACCTAGAAGTCCTGATTAGACAGTCTGGTGGTTCTGTCTGTGTTACCTAGAAGCCCTGATTAGACAGTCTGGTGGTTCTGTCTGTGTTACCTAGTAGCCCTGATTAGTCAGGATTACTTACCTTTGAGCGGTCAGTCTGTTTGTTCTCGATTCCGTAAATTTCCTGCAGGAGGTAAGGCAGTCCATCTACAAATTGCTTCTGTTTAAGTGGTTTGATCATGTAACTTCCATCCACAGAGCTCCTTTCTACCACAGCAAATGTCATGTGGGAGTGGTTTGAGTGGTCTGTAAGGAAAACAATTGGTGAGAATGATAAATATTACATAAGGGTGGTTGGAGTGGTCTGTAAGGAAAACAATTGGTTAAGATGATAAATGTTACATAAGGGTCGTTGGAGTGGTCTGTAGGGAAAACAATTGGTGAGAATAATAAATATTACATAAGGGTGGTTGGAGTGGTCTGTAGGGAAAACAATTGGTTAAGATGATAAATATTACATAAGGGTGGTTGGAGTGGTCTGTGAGGAAAACAATTGGTTAAGATGATAAATATTACATAAGGGTGGTTGGAGTGGTCTGTGAGGAAAACAATTGGTTAAGATGATAAATATTACATAAGGGTGGTTGGAGTGGTCTGTAGGGAAAACAATTGGTGAGAATAATAAATATTACATAAAGGTGGTTGGAGTGGTCTGTAGGGAAAACAATTGGTGAGAATGATAAATATTACATAAGGGTGGTTGGAGTGGTCTGTAAGGAAAACAATTGCTGCGAATGATAAATATTACATAAGGGTGGCTGGATAAGTGTTAACTATAATAACTATTGATGATTGTCCAATATTCAAATTTAATTCATTAATTCTGATTCAGTACATTGTTCAACTAAAAATTTAACATGAACTTTCTCTTCCAGTAATACACGAGAAGCGAATGTAGTGGTACCTACCATCATCTTCTACTACAGCATGTATCACTACAGGAATGGTCTCCTTCAGTGGGTCATACTGCCACTATCAATATAAAAGGTACTTATTTCACTTATATAACAGATAGTACTAACACTTCAATGAGGGTTTGTATTTGGATTCACTATACATATCTATACATACGTATATAATATGGATATAAAGACACTGTTAAAATCTGTATTGATTTGTAGAACTATACACTGATGTATTGAATCATTATAAACCTACATTCTATAGGTTATACTTCAAGGATGTTCTAACAGATTAATCTTAAAAAGATCTTAAGATGTTGTAGGAGTTGTATATACCTCATCATCCAAGAACTTATTGGGGTCGATGATGTGGGTGGGCTGAGAAAAGACTTGATTGGCTCCTCTTTTGTAGTGGAATGTCTCAGAGTTCATAGATTGATCTCGTGGGCGATATCTGTGTGAAGAAGCAGCCGTGAAAGCTAGTCAGTCAATGCTTAGATAGTAAATAAAATAAAACTAACCATCAAGTGACTTTAATCTTGCTTATGGTGAAAGAAATACATATGATGCCTATGTTAGCAGCATTTGCTCTCTATTTCATCAGATGATATGTTTTCTTGTTGATTTCAGAAGCATGTATTATGAATATAAATATCTTCTCCTTATCCATCAGAAATCATAATGAGACATAGGATACGTACATCAGTTGACCATTGCTGATTTCCTCCGAAGCAAAGTAGTAGATGGTGATAGCACAACGTACATCACAATCAAATGTGAACTCTATATTGTATCTACAGCCCGATGATTTCCTAGTCTTTCCATCATCTGGTAGCTGAGCAGCATCAGCTTCCTCTACTCTGTCATAATAAAATTAGTATTTTGTTTTTAAAAATGAGCTTCTACAGAATGTTTATCAGCTTCGTACACCAGATGATCATGTTGCAACTTTTTATCTTTTTTTTAAGCAAATGGGTGAAAAGTTACATATCAAAACATTTAACTATATTAGATACTGCAAAAGATATTTTACAATAATCTACTCATTTAATAGGATGTAAATGTAAATTTTATGTAGAGAAGTTTAATGGAAACACTTCTGTCTGATAGATGTAATGTAAACATGTGTCAAACACATTGTGTAACACAAATGTAATGTAAATACAGGTGTCACACAAATACAATGTAAACACTTGTCACACAAACGGTGTCATACACATGTACACTACAGGTAAGAAGATATTTCCCCCCTGAGATTTTCTGTGGTGGTTTTCTGTAATGAAGTTGAAACACATAGTAGATAGCAGTAAGAACTTAGGTCTGGGATCAGTATTAAGCTGACAACAGAAGGATGTACTAAAACCTTGTGCTACACCAAACTCATACATACTTAATTTGGATTGATTCTTGCTGACAATTTGTTGGAAATCCACTGATATGTTTTATCTTAGAACCCAAACTGTCCATTTATATGTTAGCTTAGTTTTTTTACCTGACAAATCGGAGGGAATCTTTCCTGATATTGACAAGACTCTTCAATGTCTTGGTGGGCTCATTTCCCGTAGGTGGAGGATACGGGAACTACAAGTAATGATAAATGAAATCAAAGCAGAGTCAAATATACAGCGTGCATTTTACACATGAAAGGCAAAGTGATGAAATGTATATAAAATATCTAATGAAGATTTCTTTTCAATTACAATAAATTCAAGCATTATCATTGAGTTGGTTCTTTACTTGCCTCTGATTTTGTCTCCAGTTGTGAGACTTAATCCATTTTGATGATTCTACCACTGATGAAGAATGTGGCTAGATTTTACATTGTGGTTTCAATGTACCCGAGCAATGTATTAGACAGTTATCTGGACCAGAAAGCTGATGCCTTTACTAACAAACGTTATATTACCAGACCGCTTTACTAAGTAAAACAATTTTCTGACATGCATGTTTTATTGCTTGTAAGATAAACATTTGTTTCAAACTTTGGTCATTTGGTTTACAAAAAAATATTATAATATTTTGCTACTACAGTTTCCTATCCACTTGAAAAACAGTTTCCAGGACCCTGTTTTGCATGATATGGGATAAGACTTTTTAAAAATCATTTTGGAATTTGATTTATTGGTAAGCAACTCAACAGGATTAAACTGTAAGTTGAATGCATGAATATTTGATGACAGGACTCACTACAGAAACTCTTACAAAAATTAATGATCTTTAAGTCAAAGAGATAAAGCTTTACATAATCTGAAAGAAATCTTTTAAAAGCTGACAGATGATCTTAAGACACGGTTAACATTATGAAAACAACAAGGGGCTGTAAATACCGTCAAATCAAACTACTATTCAGGACAATACATCTCCACAGTGATTTTTAGGACTCAAATACTTGAATCCTGGACCAATGCTTTTCCTTTGGGATTTTCTCATTGTATCTCTTTGTAACTAGAATCATCAAAATTTTGGAAATGCTCATTGCTGCTCAGGGCTCACTAACAAAAATCATATGAAAGTACTCATTAAGCCTACCAAGTTCGAAAGAAATCAGATGAAAACTGAGAGAAATCTTGACACAAGACTAACGTCAAGCAAAAAACAAGGGGCATTAATTCTTCCAAATACAGTTAAATCAAACTGCCATTTAGGAAAACACAATTCATTTTATGGCGATTTTGCATAACAAATTTGAAAATATTTGTTTGAAAACTATGGAAGGAGATCATCGTACAAATTCAAATTAATTACTGACCTACGGACAGACAAAAATTTTTCACATGCATATAAAAAAACATGGCTTAAGCAGCTAAGTGCAATACAATGATGTGTAGTATGTTTGTCAAGAATGAAATGACTGCAAATTACATAAGATACATATTTTTTTTTCTATAAGAAAAATTTATAAATTGTTCTGATACAGATAATTCCTTTAAACTATGTTTTTTCTTACATGTGCATCCATATTAAGGAAACTGCTTAGTCTACTCACCGGTATTGGTTTACTTCCAAGAAAATTCAGGTCAGAATTCTCTCCAAACAAGTATGCCTCAGGTTGACTCATGTCAAACCTTTCTCCACCCATTATAAAGTGAGAACCAAAATAATTACCTGTAAAGAAAAAAAAACTAATTCTGCTGAAACTTAAACCCAGGACCTCTGCTTTACTAAGTATAACATAGGGCAGCATACCTTGCCTCACAAATGTTTGTCAATAACATAGGTAAAAGGTATACTGGGTCTTGAATGTAAAATTCTTTTTCCTGGAGCATTCATGAAGGTATAAAACCAAAACACAGGATTTGTTACAAACCATCATATTATATAGGACCAAATAAGAATCATTTTTGAATGCCGTTAAAAAAAATCCAGGTGAGATTATACAACTGCCTGCAATATTCCAAATCTCTTGAGTTATATTTGTGCAATTTTCTCTAAATATTTAATATTAAAATGCCAAACTGCAGGTCATTAGGGACTGCCGAAAAAGCAAACCAGTTTATCATGATGTATGTGAAATATAGCTCGTCTTTTAACATGATCATGACCTACATGTGATACAACATGTATGCATCATCAAATAATAATGAAATGACATCTCTTTCCAGAAAAAATATTTAATGGACATGACAAAAAATTATGAAAATTAAATACCTTGGAAAATAAAGCAATATCCATTTGACAAAACAGATACTTTTAACTGTCATTCTTTGTTCACAACTGAACACTGATATTTTCTTATAGTGTTGCTTCTAAGTATGTTATTATTGCTGCTTACATAAAAGTATGATTTCTTTCACCATGATGCAGGTTTTACAACCCTTTCCATATAATCACATTGCATTATAAAATGCTATGGCCTTGCCAAGGCCAAGGTATAAAAAGGGGTGTTAATTTAACATCTCGAACAGTCAAACTGATTTGTTTCCAGAGGTGTGCTACATTTTTTCTCTCAGTAGGTACTGGTCATGGGGATCTTTTTAGTAGGTGATCATTGTTGTATCATGTGTAGTGGGAACACTAATGACACGATAATGTACATGACCCAGTTTCAGGGGAAGTTTCAAGACTATTAATTAGTGGGTGAGAGTTTCATTGTAAATATTTTATCATCATACACAAATAACTCTTGTTCAACTCCATATAATGAGTCTATTATCACTGCATTAGCTGACAGCTTTTTTTGTTACCACCTACCGAACCTAGGTTGACAACATAGGCCATAACAGACTTCGAAATCACAAATTACAAACTGGTTCCTTTGACCACTGCAAGGGACTTGATATGTTTCCATGGATATATCCAACCTGGGTTCTTGTCTTTGGGATAAAAGACTAGATGTTACCTGGGTTATCAGTGTCTTCAGGGTCAAAGACTTTGCAAAGAATGGAATAGTGTAGAAGCCGTTGAAAGTCTCTGAAGTAAAGCAGTAGAGTGTCTGGCTATAGACTAATGGAATAGGGCATTTTCTTAATGCCTTCCTTTTACAGTCACAAATGTTAGCACAATCAATTTGAATTGTTTAAGCTTACTATTACCGTTTATTATGAAAAGAAAATTCATGTATTTTATAAGAAAACTGGTTTATAAACACAAGGCTTAGTTAACTCTTAACTACGTCGGTAAAGCGTTGCAAAGAGATACAGACGTTTTCTTATCCCTCTGTATTAAACGTCCCTAAGTATTATATTGAGTATTTAGACGTGCGAAACAGCGATTTTCGGAACTCGGACATTTAAGTCCAGGACTCTTTTTTCTGTGGGGCTCAATGAAGTTTTGATAATCAACTAGATCTTTTAGTATAATGGAGCTCATCCAAATTTCGGAATTGGTGTTCTGGACTCGTCTGAAAAAAGGATCTCACAAAAACTGCCCTATCAGACAGAAATAAACATAATAACCGTGATTTTTACTAGCAACGAATAACCCTGACACCTCACCCATTTTCGGAGGATAGCGATATGCATTGTTAGAAGCATAGTCGACTTCTTCCACTCCATCATTATTTCTACTGGTAAAGGCACCCATCCTTTAATGATGGAGTGCAAAAATACCACAAATTTGGTCTTTTCTTCTCCAACAACTCGTCAAAATGGCGTGTATTATGATTCCGGTCCACTTCCATGTGTATGACGTCATGGGAACTTGCTGTAAACATAATGAATTCGCATATTTTTTTCAAACATAAGTTATTTTTTAACGGAAAATTAAAATGGCTCATAAATAAAAAGTAATCACTACTGAAAACTATAATTCATCATTATTCATTTGTGTACTCGCATTTTTACACATAGCCACGCCTTTGTTTCGAGGAATCAGCCAATCAAATCAATAATCTTGGTGACGTTTGCCTGTCAATCAAGCGAGCTCCCTTTCAACTTCCCCGATCGAACAACAACATTGGATCTATCTCGCTAAGGAAGCTGTGTTTATTTCACGCAATACGACAAATATGGAAAATTTAAAAGAACAAGTTATGATAAACCACTTTATTTCAGCGACAGGCTGCCATGTAGAGCAAGCTAAACAGTTGTTAACAGCATCAAAGTGGCAGTTTCAGGTAATGTTTTGGTGCTCTCAGGGGTTATGAAGTATCATGGCGCATGTGTTTACTTTTTAAAACGAGGTCATTGTGCCCTTTAGTCGTTTTGTTAACCATTGTTTATGCTCCTATCAACTGACGAAAACTTATATTTGTTTATTTTCAGACGGCTCTTAGTATGTTCTTTCAAGAATCGGCCATTCCTTCGTGTCGAACTTGCAACGGAAACCATACAAATGCTCACTATCCGGTAAGATCATAATATCACCCGTCTGGAGTCCATGTTGATGACATCATCATTCCTGTTGTTGTATTTACAATTTCATGTTTACAAAATGAAAAAAAAATGGTTTAGTTATAACTAACACACAGACAACAAACAGTTTGTTATCCGGTTTTTCTCTTAGTAGATTTCCTTGTCTCTCGTAGAGTAATCATAGGTTTAGACTTGGGTTATTAATGTGTTTTATTTCACTGGAACGTTCGGTTCCCGTGGAGTTGCTAGCATCTCGCTTATACGTAGAATCAAAATCGAAACCACATTGATTAAAATCTCACTACAACAATTTGAATAAATGAATGACTAACTTCTAAGAAGTCATATGTTTGTTCTCTCATGAAAAATTCTGATATATATATAGACAACAACAACTGATGATTCATTACTCATTTCATGATTACCATAACGCTTTCGGAAAAGAATTAGACTTGTCGACAGTTCTGTCACGTGGTTATATATGTATTGATACTGACTGTATAATCATATTTAAAAACTGTGGGCCAGACAACTGGCATTGTTCAGACTAAATACAATTGCTCAAAATATAAAACAATCATAAAAAAATTTAATGTGAAAGCAACTGCAAACTCATCAAAATTATTGTACTTCTAAAGATCACTTAAGAACCAAAACAATTCAATGTTTGGTGGCTGGGTTAAAATGGGAATCATGCATTTGTAGCACATTGAGAAAGTGAAGGCCAATTCAATGTAGTCATTGAGCTAATGATTATAGTATTGACATTTTGTTGTCATGTATACGATACTATGAAATAATGTTTTTAGAAGTGTTTATGTGATGTTAAAAATACAGTTTTAAGCTCAAAGAAATTTGTCCTGTTATGGTGTAAATGTGGCAAGCCTATCAAAATGGAAAGAAGAAAGAAATGTAGTTTTAAAAGATTTTGCATGTTAATACAGAATCAGTAGAGGTAGCCACATTTCTCCTTGGAAGTTTAATTTTGGGAATTAATTCAGTATTATTGTTAGTTTTAGTCTTCTTCTGAATTTTGTTAAACCTAGAGATGTCTTTGGTTGCAAAAATACATGATGTCAGTCTGTGTTGTTTGTGCAGCTGACTTGAGCAGCAGGGGCATGATCACCTGTTTCCTGATTTAGGCCTTACAAACCTTGACAAACCTTGATCAGCTGTTAACTTTGACTTTGAATAAATCAAGACGTTTAATTCAGATAAATGTCCTTCCAATTGTGTAATGTAATAATACATTGGGGTATGGTATTAAGTAATGGATTGTATAGGAAAGACAGCTATTTTCTACATTGTAAGTGCATAATGCATGGTATTTTATTGTTATTGTAGTAAATCACAAAGAAAAATAATGACAATGTTAGCCTAGGACCTCTGTACATGCATATTACAGTGTCAACATCATGTCATCCATTAAAACATCCTATAGATGTGGAAAAGTATAGGTTATTATGTCACATTTCAATAGTATATCTTATATTTAGGTTTTGTGGGGCTTTTGGCTTCAGATCCTATGGAAGTTGCAGCTCTCTTCAAGAGCCTCTTGTCACTTTTACAAGCAGTAACAATATATATCTCTGAAATAAAAAAGATTCTACCATTTTATCCCTGTACAAATTAAGATGATAAAGTATTATTGTTATTAGAACCAGTGAAGAGATGTTTTTATGTTATGGACATCTGTCACTTTTTGGTTAGGGCATACTAGGGAAGGTACCTACCCCTGTTGCTGTTTTTCAGTGGTGAATAATTAATGGAATAAATTAGTTGATCGCCTTAAGACTAGTGACCTGTCGTGGGTGTTGTCTGTATTAACATAGTTAGCAATGGCTGCCAGCAACAATATGCAAATTTAAATTTTGAGTTGAATTTGTTGTCTGTATGAAGTTTTAGAAGTAACAAAAGTGAAAATTTTCCTTTTTGTAAAAGTTAAATAGAGAGCATAGCTCAGATTTTACTATTTTACAATATAGTATTATTATTCTGAGGAAGACTCTTCAACTCTTACATTGTTTTTTTTTTTTTTTTTTTCTCAATGGTCATCAGTATTTTGTTACAGTTAGTGTACAGAAATATTGGTCTTCACATCTATAGGGAGTCTCCTAGTGTCTTCATTGTGGCCTATATAAAAGAACACTCCACTATACTGGGTATATCAGTATGCATTTTTTTTTCAAATCATTATTATTCAGTTGACAATGCCATGCCATGTGGATTTTCAAAACATTTGTTTACTATCATGAATGTGTGGCTTTGTTGTACCAGATAATATCTGCATTACAAATTTATGTAAATTGAAATAATGTCGTGATAAACTTCCTGGTTATGTTTATTGCATTTGAACTTTATAGGTTAAACCAACTCAAAATTATTCTGCTTTATCAAAATTAAAATTTCATAAACATTTAAAAGTTAATAAGATATTGTTACAGCTAGGTTATGATATCTGTAGAAACAAATGGGGGTCTTTGTTAAAAGGCATATTAAAGGAACTAAAATGATTCATTAATCAAATACTTTATATATCCATTCTCAGTATGCCTACTCAAGGAGGTTTGGATTAATCATGCCTGTTAGTGTGTCTGACACTTGGTATGACGGACATGGACACGTGTAACTTGTTCTAGTCTGGGTCAGGATCAATATGGCCTCCAGATAGAACTCACATTCATACTGTTGTTTATACTTCAGTACACAATCATACCAATCCAGTGTACTGATCATTTGGTGGTGTAATATATACATTTCTGATCAGTGATCAACGTTTGAAGAGAAGCGAAAAACACGTGTGTATACATTGTATATGCAAAAAAGTCTTCATTCACTCAAATTGTCATTATTATCCACACATAAAGAGACACGTACTGACTCATGACGGGATATTAACAGGACATAATGACACATATACAGGTAAGTATATTACCTTGACATAAACCTGGACATACACACACATGTACAGATTAGTGTATTACCTGGACATAATGACTCATATACAGATTAGTGTATTACAGGGACATAGTGACTCATATACAGATTAGTGTATTACCTGGACATACAGACACATATACAGATTAGTGTATTACAGAGACATAAACAAACATATACAGATTAGTGTATTACCTGGACATACAGACACATATACAGATTAGTGTATTACAGAGACATAAACAAACATGTACAGATTAGTGTATTACCTGGACATAATGACTCATATACAGATTAGTGTGTTACAGAGACATAAACAAACATGTACAGATTAGTGTATTACCTGGACATAATGACTCATGTACAGATTAGTGTATTACAGAGACATAAACAAACATGTACAGATTAGTGTATTACCTGGACATAATGACTCATATACAGATTAGTGTATTACAGGGACATAATGACTCATATACAGATTAGTGTATTACAGGGACATAATGACTCATATACAGATTAGTGTATTACAGGGACATAATGACTCATATACAGATTAGTGTATTACAGAGACATAAACAAACATGTACAGATTAGTATATTACCTGGACATACAGACTCATATACAGATTAGTGTATTACAGAGACATAATGACTCATATACAGATTAGTGTATTACAGAGACATAATGACTCATATACAGATTAGTGTATTACAGAGACATAAACAAACATGTACAGATTAGTGTATTACCTGGACATAATGACTCATATACAGATTAGTGTATTACAGAGACATAAACAAACATGTACAGATTAGTGTATTACCTGGACATAATGACTCATATACAGATTAGTGTATTACAGAGACATAAACAAACATGTACAGATTAGTGTATTACCTGGACATAATGACTCATATACAGATTAGTGTATTACAGGGACATAATGACTCATATACAGATTAGTGTATTACAGGGACATAATGACTCATATACAGATTAGTGTATTACCTGGACATAATGACTCATATACAGATTAGTGTATTACAGAGACATAATGACTCATATACAGATTAGTGTATTACAGGGACATAATGACTCATATACAGATTAGTGTATTACCAGGACATAATGACACATGTACAATCAAACCTCCAAACACATCACAGGGGTACACCTAATCAAACCTCCAAACACATCACAGGGGTACACCTAATCAAACCTCCAAACACATCACAGGGATACACCTAATCAAACCTCCAAACACATCACAGGGATACACCTAATCAAACCTCCAAACACATCACAGGGATACACCTAATCAAACCTCCAAACACATCACAGGGATACACCTAATTAAACGTCCAAACACATCACAGGGGTACACCTAATTAAACGTCCTCCTGGTCTGACACATATACAGGTTTTGTACACATCAGCTAGTAACAAAATACATGCTGGTATGATTATATAATTGTCTGTTTGAGAGCATTCTCTCATCAAGAAAATGCATTGAAACTATGTCACATCGTGATTTGGATTGTAAGATGCACATGTTTATATACACACAGGATATGTATTACACATGATTATATGTAAGAGATATACACATGCAAGTACATGTTTATGTATTATAAAGTAACACACACAATTATGGCATGTTATTAAAAACACATGGTTTGATAGTATGGAGTTCTATAGATACTTAAAGTGACCTTGATGACCTTGGATTGGAACTTGACACAAACTTGCAAGTTCAACCAAGGTCTTCACAAACTGCTTTCTCATAGTCATAAAGTGACCCTGACTTTTTAACCCTGTGTTTTGAACTATCTTTAATCTAAACCTCTAAGGAAATTATTTGAATTAATAAATATTATCTTAAATGAAAATTCCCCCAAATCAGTAACCCAAGAAATTAACACTAGTTTGTTCATAAAGTTTGGCTGCATTTGTTTTTAGTGATTCATGTGAGGTGTTTACAAATCTAGTAAACATGCTCTGACTGAATGTATATGTAGGAGGAAAGCATAAACAGCTGCTGTTTTGATTGAAGGGGTTTACTGTGTGATATTTGATGTACTAATTACTGGTTGTGAATGAATCAGTGTGTAATACTTTCCTTTCTGTTACAGCTCTGTACGCCTGCTAATACTCCAGCTACGCCACCCAATTTCCCAGATGCACTCGCTGCATTATCAAAACTTTCAACAACAGAAAAATTCAGCTCATCTCCGTATGCCACATCACCTCAGCAGGTTGCACATTCTCCAAAAGGGATGGAGATAGAAACACAGCGATAGTAAGAACAGGTGCGCTGTTTTATCTTCTGGAGATGATGATGGAAGAACGGATGAGGAAGAAAAAGACTTGTGTTATTCGTCCATTCTTAGAGGGAGGAAGGTGGAGGGATGTAAGGACATGCTGAGCCATGGGTGGCCAGTGGGTCCTTTTAGGATGTTTTACATGTATTGGAAACAAAGTGCTATAATACCTTAATTGGATACCTCACTTGTAGTGTATACCCGTACTACCATCAGACATTTTTGTGGAAAGACTAGTTCTTTTCCACCTAGTTATGTGTGTTTATCCAAGTGTCTGACATTAGTCTGAAATACCCTCTATAAATTTCTTGATGGTAAGTTTTATTTTCAATTTGATCACTATTGATATGATGTAGTGCTGTGTGAGGATGTGTGTGATATTTATGAGTTACTGTGATCAGAGGAGAGAACGATTGAAGAGTAAAAGTTGTTGCTTAATCATGATAGATATATTTGCCTCATATCCCGATCAGCGTTTTAGTTTGTACGGGAGGTTTGTCATTTATCTCTGCCTTTTTATGAGGCAGTCAGTGTGAGGGTGCCATTGCTGTATATGTTACCGGGAAATCACAGTCCTGACTGACTTCAGCACCTGGTCCTTCTCACTTATAGTCATACTATCATGTCTTTCCTTATTTAACATGCACCTCGTTGGTCTAACATATAGAAAACTCCTTCATGATCAGTACAGCAATTTATTTTACAAGAAATTTCTTATTGTGTGAATTTTGTTGACATTTTTATAATGATCATGTATTTGAATAGTTCAGTTGTAATGATTAGAACATTTTTAAGTTGAATTGATAGACTCTCAACTGAGGTTCATAATCATAAATTCATGTTTTTCTCCTGGAATTTGTACTTCATCATCATTGCGTACAATCAATTCATCTTACATCAGCATATGTTTTACTTTATCATGTTCAACTTGTACTGGTGTTGCTGTTTTACTTCCGTTAAGTATAAAGAAATAATCTAGGAAGCTATGATTTTATAGAACGCTTAATTATAGAAATGAAACTTGGTACATACGTACCAGTCTGAAGTTGTTGAGTTCAAAAAGGAAAAATACTGTCATTTTAGTGTCATTACTTTACCTACATTTTGATACATTCACCAATAAACTGCATCAAAATTTTATCATTATCATGAAACATTGGAAATTGAAATTGTTGATCATGTTGATAATAACATCTTAAATTCATCTGGAACCCAACAAACTTCAGCTGTAGTTGTATTTAAGCAACTCTTGGTTACATACACACAGATACTAACATAACTGCCTTTTTCAGATTTATATTCTATTTTGCCTTTATTACATATGTTTGTATGTTTTGTATTTTGTATCAGGTTTTGCTTGTTATAGATCAAATGTGTACATGTATTTTGCCCAAAGTTTTCTCATCATCTCATAGCTGGAGAGAACTTAACACATGTTAATTAGTCTCAATTTGTATGAATTTTGTATATACACGTTATTCTAAACTTATTAATATTAGACAAAGTTGATGTTTTGTTGATAAAAATATTGACAAGTCTGCAGCTCCTTGTAATATGTAAAATGATGATTGTACATGTATTAATACCATGAGAGCAAATTTATGATAACTCTATATGATATTGTTGTACAGAAGTACTTTTTCTGTTGTCATGTTCACATGTGAAAGACATTGTCAGAGAAAGGCAGTTATATATAGATACCACATGATTTCCGTGAGTAAATAAAAATCTTAACAAGACTCAAATGTCTCGATCTTTTATTGATATTTGCAAGTCTTCTCCTACAACTGGTGCATCATTAGAATACATTTGCCTCATATATTTTTGCAGTATTCAGCAGTGACAGAAAACAACTGCAGTTTTAGCATGAGTGGTAATTTGACAGAATTACTCTCTGAATAAACTTAAATATGTTGAGAAATATAAATAGTTGCTGAAAGAAGTGATTTTACATGTAATGAACAAGCTGATTTATGAAAATTCATAAAATGGCTGTTATATCCAGTGAAGTGTGGAACTTTGTATCCACACAGTGCAGTTATTTTAGCATCCATCATCAGGCAAAATTCAGCATAATTAACTTGTTTCAGGTAAACACAGATTAAACAACAAATCTGTTTGTTTCAATAGTCTGGTTTTGAATCAGTGTTGCAGGATAAATAGAATACTCGGTCAGTGTCTTAAAATATGATCTGTATTTAGGTTAAGGAGAGAAAGACAAAAGTGACTTGCCACTATGCAGCTTATGTTTTAAGACATTGACCATGTATTCTATATGTATTTTTTGTATATTGCATTTTCAATATATATTTGTGTATAGTGTAAACCTTGATAAACTTTATATGTACCTGTAACACCTGAGTGTACATGTTATTGTAACACCTGACCCCGTGTGTACATGTCATTGTAACACCTGATCCTGTGTGTACATCCTATTGTAACACCTGATCCTGTGTGTACATGGCATTGTAACACCTGACCCTGTGTGTACATCCTATTTTAACACCTGATCCTGTGTGTACATCCTATTGTAACACCTGATCCTGTGTGTACATCCTATTGAAACACCTGATCCTGTGTGTACATGTCATTGTAACACCTGACCCTGTGTGTATATCCTATTGTAACACCTGATCCTGTGTGTACATGTCATTGTAACACCTGATCCTGTGTGTACATGTCATTGTAACACCTGACCCTGTGTGTATATCCTATTGTAACACCTGATCCTGTGTGTACATCCTATTGTAACAACTGATCCTGTGTGTACATGTCATTGTAACACCTGACCCTGTGTGAACATCCTATTGTAACACCTGACCCTGTGTGTACATCCTATTGTAACACCTGATCCTGTTTGTACATCCTTTTGTAACACCTGATCCTGTGTGTACATGTCATTGTAACACCTGATCCTGTGTGTACATGTCATTGTTACAGCTGACCTTGTGTGTATATCCTATTGTAACACCTAATCCTGTGTGTACATGTCATTGTAACACCTGATCCTGTGTGTACATGTCATTGTTACACCTGACCCTGTGTGTATATCCTATTGTAACACCTGATCCTGTGTGTACATACTATTGTAACAACTGATCCTGTGTGTACATACTATTGTAACAACTGATCCTGTGTGTACATACTATTGTAACACCTGATCCTGTGTGTACATCCTATTGTAACACCTGATCCTGTGTGTACATCCTATTGTAACACCTGATCCTGTGTGTACATGTCATTGTAACACCTGACCCTGTGTGTACATCCTATTTTAACACCTGATCCTGTGTGTACATCCTATTGTAACACCTGATCCTGTGTGTACATCCTATTGAAACACCTGATCCTGTGTGTACATGTCATTGTAACACCTGACCCTGTGTGTATATCCTATTGTAACACCTGATCCTGTGTGTACATGTCATTGTAACACCTGATCCTGTGTGTACATGTCATTGTAACACCTGACCCTGTGTGTATATCCTATTGTAACACCTGATCCTGTGTGTACATCCTATTGTAACAACTGATCCTGTGTGTACATGTCATTGTAACACCTGACCCTGTGTGAACATCCTATTGTAACACCTGACCCTGTGTGTACATCCTATTGTAACAACTGATCCTGTGTGTACATGTCATTGTAACACCTAATCCTGTGTGTACATGTCATTGTTACAGCTGACCTTGTGTGTATATCCTATTGTAACACCTAATCCTGTGTGTACATGTCATTGTAACACCTGATCCTGTGTGTACATGTCATTGTTACACCTGACCCTGTGTGTATATCCTATTGTAACACCTGATCCTGTGTGTACATCCTATTGTAACAACTGATCCTGTGTGTACATACTATTGTAACAACTGATCCTGTGTGTACATACTATTGTAACACCTGATCCTGTGTGTACATCCTATTGTAACAACTGATCCTGTGTGTACATACTATTGTAACACCTGATCCTGTGTGTACATGTCATTGTTACACCTGACCCTGTGTGTATATCCTATTGTAACACCTGATCCTGTGTGTACATCCTATTGTAACAACTGATCCTGTGTGTACATACTATTGTAACACCTGATCCTGTGTGTACATGTCATTGTTACACCTGACCCTGCGTGTATATCCTATTGTAACACCTGATCCTGTGTGTACATCCTATTGTAACAACTGATCCTGTGTGTACATACTATTGTAACACCTGATCCTGTGTGTACATCCTATTGTAACACCTGATCCTGTGTGTACATCCTATTGTAACAACTGATCCTGTGTGTACATACTATTGTAACACCTGATCCTGTGTGTACATCCTATTGTAACACCTGATCCTGTGTGTATATCCTATTGTAACAACTGATCCTGTGTGTACATACTATTGTAACACCTGATCCTGTGTGTACATCCTATTGTAACACCTGATCCTGTGTGTACATCCTATTGTAACACCTGATCCTGTGTTTACATGTCATTGTAACACCTGATCCTGTGTGTACATGTCATTGTAACACCTGACCCTGTGTGTATATCCCATTGTAACACCTGATCCTGTGTGTACATACTATTGTAACAACTGATCCTGTGTGTACATACTATTGTAACACCTGATCCTGTGTGTACATCCTATTGTAACACCTGATCCTGTGTGTACATCCTATTGTAACACCTGATCCTGTGTTTACATGTCATTGTAACACCTGATCCTGTGTGTACATGTCATTGTAACACCTGACCCTGTGTGTATATCCCATTGTAACACCTGATCCTGTGTGTACATACTATTGTAACACCTGATCCTGTGTGTACATCCTATTGTAACAACTGATCCTGTGTGTACATACTATTGTAACACCTGATCCTGTGTGTACATCCTATTGTAACACCTGATCCTGTGTGTACATCCTATTGTAACACCTGATCCTGTTTGTACATCCTTTTGTAACACCTGATCCTGTGTGTACATGTCATTGTAACACCTGATCCTGTGTGTACATGTCATTGTTACACCTGACCTTGTGTGTATATCCTATTGTAACACCTAATCCTGTGTGTACATGTCATTGTAACACCTGATCCTGTGTGTACATGTCATTGTTACACCTGACCCTGTGTGTATATCCTATTGTAACACCTGATCTTGTGTGTACATCCTATTGTAACAACTGATCCTGTGTGTACATACTATTGTAACAACTGATCCTGTGTGTACATACTATTGTAACACCTGATCCTGTGTGTACATCCTATTGTAACACCTGATCCTGTGTGTACATCCTATTGTAACACCTGATCCTGTGTGTACATGTCATTGTAACACCTGACCCTGTGTGTACATCCTATTGTAACACCTGATCCTGTGTGTACATCCTATTGTAACACCTGATCCTGTGTGTACATCCTATTGAAACACCTGATCCTGTGTGTACATGTCATTGTAACACCTGACCCTGTGTGTATATCCTATTGTAACACCTGATCCTGTGTGTACATGTCATTGTAACACCTGATCCTGTGTGTACATGTCATTGTTACACCTGACCCTGTGTGTATATCCTATTGTAACACCTGATCCTGTGTGTACATCCTATTGTAACAACTGATCCTGTGTGTACATACTATTGTAACAACTGATCCTGTGTGTACATACTATTGTAACACCTGATCCTGTGTGTACATCCTATTGTAACAACTGATCCTGTGTGTACATACTATTGTAACACCTGATCCTGTGTGTACATGTCATTGTTACACCTGACCCTGTGTGTATATCCTATTGTAACACCTGATCCTGTGTGTACATCCTATTGTAACAACTGATCCTGTGTGTACATACTATTGTAACACCTGATCCTGTGTGTACATGTCATTGTTACACCTGACCCTGCGTGTATATCCTATTGTAACACCTGATCCTGTGTGTACATCCTATTGTAACAACTGATCCTGTGTGTACATACTATTGTAACACCTGATCCTGTGTGTACATCCTATTGTAACACCTGATCCTGTGTGTACATCCTATTGTAACAACTGATCCTGTGTGTGTAACACCTGATCCTGTGTGTACATCCTATTGTAACACCTGATCCTGTGTGTATATCCCATTGTAACACCTGATCCTGTGTGTACATCCTATTGTAACAACTGATCCTGTGTGTACATACTATTGTAACACCTGATCCTGTGTGTACATCCTATTGTAACACCTGATCCTGTGTGTACATCCTATTGTAACACCTGATCCTGTGTTTACATGTCATTGTAACACCTGATCCTGTGTGTACATGTCATTGTAACACCTGACCCTGTGTGTATATCCCATTGTAACACCTGATCCTGTGTGTACATACTATTGTAACACCTGATCCTGTGTGTACATCCTATTGTAACAACTGATCCTGTGTGTACATACTATTGTAACACCTGATCCTGTGTGTACATCCTATTGTAACACCTGATCCTGTGTGTACATCCTATTGTAACACCTGATCCTGTGTGTACATGTCATTGTAACACCTGATCCTGTGTGTACATGTCATTGTAACACCTGACCCTGTGTGTACATGTCATTGTAACACCTGATCCTGTGTGTACATGTCATTGTAACACCTGATCCTGTGTGTACATGTCATTGTTACACCTGACCCTGTGTGTATATCCCATTGTAACACCTGATCCTGTGTGTACATCCTGTTGTAACACCTGATCCTGTGTGTACATCCTGTTGTA